CACCTCTCATACAGTTACGCTTTAACTTCAACGGAAACTCTCTTAAATAGTAGCACAGTACGACATGCTTGTTTTGGAGGCAGTGGGTCTGTTTCCCCCTTACCCAATAATGAGGTCCGGGAACCCACACGGGAAACCGACTGTTGTATAATAGTTCTAGAACTAGAGACCCGATTTTTCATTCTCTGAAAAGGTCATTTGCTTTTACTTCTGCTAGCACCATATGTCTAACTAGCGGCAAAGGGTCCTCTTGACGTTTACTTCTGCTAGCACCATATGTCTAACTACCAAGAAAGGGATCTTCTTGACTTTTACTTCTGCTAGCACCATATGTCTAACTATCAAGAAAGGGATCTTTTTGACTTTTACTTCTGCTAGCACCATATGTCTAACTACCAAGAAAGGGGTCTTCTTGACTTTTACTTCTGCTAGCACCATATGTCTAACTATCAAGAAAGGGGTCTTCTTGACTTTTACTTCTGCTAGCACCATATGTCTAACTACCAAGAAAGGGGTCTTCTTGACTTTTACTTCTGCTAGCACCATATGTCTAACTATCAAGAAAGGGATCTTTTTGACTTTTACTTCTGCTAGCACCATATGTCTAACTACCAAGAAAGGGGTCTTCTTGACTTTTACTTCTGCTAGCACCATATGTCTAACTACCAAAAAAGGGATCTTCTTGACTTTTACTTCTGCTAGCACCATATGTCTAACTACCAAGAAAGGGGTCTTCTTGACTTTTACTTCTGCTAGCACCATATGTCTAACTACCAAAAAAGGGATCTTCTTGACTTTTACTTCTGCTAGCACTATATGTCTAACTACCAAGAAAGGGGTCTTCTTGACTTTTACTTCTGCTAGCACCATATGTCTAACTACCAAGAAAGGGATCTTCTTGACTTTTACTTCTGCTAGCACCATATGTCTAACTACCAAGAAAGGGGTCCTCTTGACTTTTACTTCTGCTATCACCATATGTCTAACTACCAAGAAAGGGATCTTCTTGACTTTTACTTCTGCTAGCACCATATGTCTAACTACCAAGAAAGGGATCTTCTTGATTTTTACTTCTGCTAGCACCATATGTCTAACTACCAAGAAAGGGGTCTTCTTGACTTTTACTTCTGCCAGCACCATATGTCTAACTACCAAGAAAGGGGTCTTCTTGACTTTTACTTCTACTAGCACCATATGTCTAACTACCAAGAAAGGGGTCTTCTTGACTTTTACTTCTGCTATCACTATATGTCTAACTACCAAAAAAGGGGTCTTCTTGACTTTTACTTCTGCTAGCACCATATGTCTAACTACCAAGAAAGGGGTCTTCTTGACTTTTACTTCTGCTAGCACCATATGTCTAACTACCAAGAAAGGGGTCTTCTTGACTTTTACTTCTGCTAGCACAATATGTCTAACTACCAAGAAAGGGGTCTTCTTGACTTTTACTTCTGCTAGCACCATATGTCTAACTATCAAGAAAGGGGTCTTCTTGACTTTTACTTCTGCTAGCACCATATGTCTAACTACCAAGAAAGGGATCTTTTTGACTTTTACTTCTGCTAGCACCATATGTCTAAATACCAAGAAAGGGGTCTTCTTGATTTTTACTTCTGCTAGCACCATATGTCTAACTACCAAGAAAGGGATCTTCTTGACTTTTACTTCTGCTAGCACCATATGTCTAAATACCAAGAAAGGGGTCTTCTTGACTTTTACTTCTGCTAGCACCATATGTCTAACTATCAAGAAAGGGGTCTTCTTGACTTTTACTTCTGCTAGCACCATATGTCTAAATACCAAGAAAGGGGTCTTCTTGACTTTTACTTCTGCTAGCACCATATGTCTAACTATCAAGAAAGGGGTCTTCTTGACTTTTACTTCTGCCAGCACCATATGTCTAACTATCAAGAAAGGGATCTTTTTGATTTTTACTTCTGCTAGCACCATATGTCTAACTATCAAGAAAGGGGTCTTCTTGATTTTTACTTCTGCTATCACCATATGTCTAACTAATAAGAAAGGGGTCTTCATGAATTTTACTTCTGCTAGCACCATATGTCTAACAAGCGGGAAATGGGTACTCTTGACTTTTACGTCCGTTTAACCCAATAGCCCAGGGTTACCTATAAACTCAGAAACATTATATATATAATAAACAAACGGTATGGTAACTATACGAATTCAAAAGAAGCGAAGAAATAAGAGAGATGTCTGGGCAACAACTAGTATCAGCAATTATAAGACAGAAAAGATGGCGCTACACAAGAAACATTCTGAGAGGAAACCAGCAGAGAATCACCAAAAAAGCATTAGAATGTGTAATAAAGGGATTAAGGAGGCCAGGACGCCCAGAAGAAACCCTTACACGAAAGTTGATGAGAGAGGCCAAAGCTGCTGGACTGGATTTCATCCATAATATTGAGCTGATTTCTCAGGAGGAATAGACCCGAGCCCTATGTGTTATACAAAGGCACAACCGGAATTGAATGAATGGTAGCTAAAGCTTAGGACTTTTATGTTTTCTAGAGTGTCCTTCTATCTTCCTACTTCATTCTATGAGTGCCCATCAATATATTGTCTGTGGGTTTATTATATATAACGTTTCTACGGCCTCAAAAGTTTCCCCTCCGTTTATTTACAGGTAAAAACATCTCACAGTAAATCAGTAACACAATTACCGAAGAGTTGAAAAGCTGGGAACACGGAGTCTCATTCCTACCTGAAGTCAGTGTTTGTTCAGCTTTCTGCTGTTTCCGTGATTAGTTAGGGAACATCATGTTCCTCACTGGCCGTTTTAATCCGAATATTTGTCTTTTGTTTCTGCTGTGTTTGTTCACCAAGCTGGGGTAACGCACGACAGAAAAACACCACCTCACCTTTCTTCTTTGATGTTTTGGGCAGACGAACAGCTCGCGGTAGAGTGCCAGGGTCAATTTGCGTTCGAATGTAAACACCCAGTTGTTTGACCGGACCAAGTGACAATGATAACTAGAAGGGATGTGAACAGAATTCAGTTTTGAAGAAGTGTCTCATTTTCAACCTGCACATTCGGCATTAGAAATGAATCAGTTAGACTGAACTATTAGATTAAAATGTTATAAATTTGTTGCAGTTTCAGTTTATCAGGGTCACTCCATACTTCCAAATATTATAATTAAAACAAGTGCAAGAAGAAGGTAATTCTGCCGGTCGAAAGGTCGAAATATCGCACCTCTGCTGAGAACAAGCGCAATTATATCCAATATCCCCGTGAGGGTTCCGGGGCCCTGTTATATGTAAAACAAGAATAGACCCATTGTCTATTCAATAGCATGTCGTAAGAGTCCACTAATTGGGAGCTTCCTCTAAAGTCGGAGTGCATCTGCCTGAGAGGCAAGGAACCAACAGTCTGTAACCAAAAGAGTCAGATTACTAAACGGATGTACACGCAACACTCAGGCTCTGGAACAGGACCGCAGTCCATAAGTGGATGAAAATCCAGAACTTTCCGCCAGAGTTTACAGCTGGTGAACTCGAAGAAGAAGATGATATCCAGTAAAATTAGGAGGAATAACGATCTTTTCCTTTACCTTGTTATATGAAATACAGAAGAACCTCGCTTAACGAGCACCTCTCATAACGAGTAATTCGCATAACGAGCAAAACAAATTGTAAAAGAATGACATACTTAACGAGCGACGTTTCGCATTACGAGTGGCGAGGAGAGGGGAAGTCCTGGATTTTGCGCATGTTAGATCAGTCTGTGTTTAGCACTCGTTCCAGTAGCATCGTAGTGTCGCTTGTGATCACACATTTTCTCAAACTTGTGTTATATTTTGATATATGTACATGAATCCTCCAGGCCTACAAGATGACCTCCCTGATGACTTTAGGTCCTTCAAGATCCAGTTTCTGCCTCCCAACACCACTCCGTTACTCCGGCCAATGGACCAGCAAGTTATTTCTAACTTTAAGAAGCTCTACACTAAAGCACTCTTCGAGCATTGTTTTTAGGTGACTGAAGGGACCAACCTCACTCTCAAAGAGTTTTGGAAAAATCACTTCCACATCGTTGCCTGCCTCAAGAGGATCGACAAAGCAGGGAAAGGGGTTACCAAGAGAACCCTAACTTTTCTTGGAAGAAGTTTTGGCCGGAGATTGTTATCGATTTGTGACTGAGGGGTTCGACAGTACCTGTGGAACCTGTATGCAACGAGATAGTGTCTTTGGCCACTATCATGGGATTGTAGGTGGATAACAGTGATATCGAAGAGCTTGTGGAAGAGCACAGCCAAGAGCTGACCATCGAAGAGCTTATGAAGTTGCATTGTGTTTCACAGCAAGACGTTTTGGAGGAAAGTTTTTCAGAGGAGGAGAAGGAGAAGGTAACAGAAAAGCAACAATCTTCTGGCGAAATAAGAGAAATGCTAAAAGCATGGGAAACTGGAAGCTTTTTAGTAAAAAAAAAAAAAGAAATAAATTAGCTATGTATCATAATAATTTCGACTTTTTTTTCTGCAAATCCAATTCGCGTTCCAGGTGGGTTCGTTCCGCGTTTGAAGAAAAGATGAAGATGATTTACTCTCCTTAAATATGTATATATTTTGCTTTCAATAAACGTTATACGAAGCATTTTGTGAGTATTTTTTTCGACATGGAACGCATTATCGTATTAACTCATATGAGAAAAATTGTTTTGCATAACGAGTGATTCGCTTAACGAGTAAGATTCTAGAACGAATTATGCTCGTTAATCGAGATTCCAATGTAGACGTAATTAAAGAGGGCTGTGTTATCATTGGTATAAAACGGATGATATCTGCACGTTTCTGTTATTGCTATTACGAAAGCACGGTGTGTAGTATCTCTGTGTGTCATTTATAATTATATAATAATGTCATTGTTGTGAATTTCTATTTCTGCTTACTGGCTGTAAACTCTGGCAGAAACTTATGGTTTTTTATCTACTTCTTATGCATATTTGCAGTTGTACGGTCTGTGTTAATTTTTCTAAATTGGCTTTTGATTAGTGAACACTAGTTGTAAACTCTGGCAGAAACTTCAGGTTGTTCATCCACTTCTTATGCATATTTGTAGTTGTAGGGTCTGTGTTAATTTGTGTAAATTGGCTTTTGCTTCGCGAACACTGGCTGTAAACTCTGGCAGAAACTTCTGGTTGTTCATCTACTTCTTATGCATATTTGCAATTGTACGGTCTGTGTTAATTTTTTGTAAATTGGCTTTTGCTTCGCCAACACTGGCTGTAAACTCTTGCAGGAACTTCTGGTTGTTCATCCACTTCTTATGCATATTTGCAGTTGTACGGTCTGTGTTAATTTTTGTAAATTGGCTTTTGCTTTGCCAACACTGGCTGTAAACTCTGACAGAAACTTCTGGTTGTTCATCCACTTCTTATGCATATTTGCAGTTGTACGGTCTGTGTTAATTTTTGTAGATTGGCTTTTGCTTCGCGAACACTGACTGTAAACTCTGGCAGAAACTTCTGGTTGTTCATCCACTTCTTATGCATATTTGCAATTGTACGGAGTGTGTTAATTTTTGTAAATTGGCTTTTGCTTCGCAAACACTGGCTGTAAACTCTAGCAGAAACTTCTGGTTGTTCATCTAATTCTGGGCTTTAGTCTTGTTCCAGACAGTTTTGAACAACAAGATCCGGTATCTATAATGGGATTTTTGTGTTTGATATGTGTATGTTGCACAGCCATTTGCAGTTATATGGTCTTTTTTAATTTGCTTAAATTACCTTTAAAATAATATACCATTCATGGTACTTATACGCGTTGTTGCATGCAGTATTCAGAAATATGTGTGATGTATTTTTAAACAGTTACCAAAAAATTCGCAATGATAATGAATTGATTTTATCCAACAAGATGAAACTTGACAAATGTGTTTGTGCTGTTTGTACCTTGAGGATAAATATTTAGTAGTGCTAAAAGTACTGTTAAAAAACTGCTCTAGGTGAAAAATTATAGCACATATCAATTTCATACTGATTGCTTGTTTACTAATTATCAAAAAACAGTATAATTATATGTTATAGTAGTCTACTAATAGTAAAAAAACCATCAATCATTTATATTTATGTTATGTATGACATGTTTATGTTTCACCGCAGTATTTTATGCCATAAATTTGATAAAGTACAAACGACATCCTCCCCCCCCCCCCCCCCCCCCCCCCCCCCCCCCCCCTACCGCCCGGCTCCTCTGATGCAACAATACTCTCTTGGAATCAAAGAGTTAGCACTGATATTTCTTTACTTTTGCTGGAATAATTTTCAGTTTATATCCAAACGTTATTGATGTTTATGATCATGTTGACTGAAGCAAAAGCATTTTTGTTTGTCTGCAGGAGCCTTTATTGTTATATTAAAATAGCACACTTATTTACCTTAAAAATGACGTATAGTTCTATAAAATATGTCGAAAATTAATGAAACTGCAGTTTAATTTGTGTATACATCTCCTCGATAAAAACTGTGGAGGCAGAAGGACTCGATTCATGCACAAGATCGGGAATCCCCGTTGATCTGTTTGGCCTATAAATAGAGTAGGCCGTGGTACAACATTAACTTCCATTTTGTCGGATTATTTCCCGATCCATATTCTGCGTGGTTGCCATCTGGGCTGTTACCGCTATATCTGTATAACATTGCTCTTGTTACATGACCAAACCATTTGATATATTGTCTACTGATAAAGTTCAGTATTGGTTCTGTACCGACTATCCTACAGATACCATAGTCCCTAAGTCGATATTTCCTTGTTACACCTAGCTTGATAGATACACTTTTTATTTTCGCCGTGACTATTTTTTTTTTTTTTTTTGTCTCTGAGATCTCAGTTATTTTTTTTCTACGAAAACTGAACGCTGTGGGTTTGCTGTACCAGTCACAGTGTTTCCAAACTTTCTAGAACAATCACAGTGTTTCCAAACTTTCTAGAACAGTCACAGTGTTTCCAAACTTTCTAGAACAGTCTTATGTGAAATGTTCTTACCGCCTTACTGTGGTTATTATTATTATTATTATTATTATTATTATTATTATTATTATTATTATTATTGTTATTATTATTATTATTATTATTGAGGCGTCCGTTGCTTAGTCGTTGCGAGTCCGACTCGTAATTCCAACGTACCGCAATTTAAACTCTCTTCTGTCTGCGTGCATTTTTATGCTGTATGGGGCGTCGCAGGTCGACCCAACCTGAAATGGGTACCAGGATGGATATCCTAGGGAAGTAAAGACGACCGGCGTAATGCTGACTACATTACCCACTGATCGGTCTGTAATAAAATATGGGTGCTCTTACCATATGTCCGATGCGCCTAAAGGCGTGAAAAGGGATCTTTATTTACTGTTATTATTAATATTATTATTGTTTATTATTATTTTTTTATTTTTCTAAACGGTAGTGACCAAGAAAAGACCCAGAGAGCACCAAGCAGATGCAGCCTTCGTAGAGTTCTGCCGGCCCAGCTGCAGTGTGGACTTCTGCAGGAAGCGTCCCCGTGCCATATGCTCTGCCAG